CCCCCCCCCCCCCCCCCCCCCCGGGCAGGCACGACCGTTTCAAGACGCTGCTGCACCTCGCCGCGACCAGCGGCAGCACTTCCCTCCTGTCTCTGCTCGACCCACTCCCCGAAGACGTCCTCGTCCTCGACAGCGACGGCTGCACGCCCCTGCACCACGCCGCCGCGTCCAGCAAGTACGACGTCGTGAAGTTCCTGGCCTCCAGAGCCAACGGGAGGGTGGGTCACCTTATGGGAATAACAAGAGTTTGTCGAAGGATGTTGCCATATGTCGAAGGGGTGGTCTAGGTAAGGCGTGTCGTTGCCGCGGTGTGGATGTATTTGTTTCCGGCAAAGCTAGGATGGGTGGGGGGTTGTTGGGCTTCGCCCTGTCGCTCCGCTCTTGTCTTCGTTTTTTCGTAGACCTCTGTTGAGTTGCTTTGAGGTGCGTGTTGCCTGCTCTCTGGAACTAGCTGCTGCTGCGTGAGATGGCAGTGTGGGTGGCAAGTGTGGACGGAGACGGGGGGGCGTGCCTCTGCCGTGTGAATGTACCGCAGGTTAAGTTTTTTTCGTGTGATATTTTCGAGTCTGTTGGCGCACTTTTCTGGTTTCCTGGCACTGCAGGTGCACGCTCCGGCGCGTATCAAGACGGACTCCGTGGACGCCTATATGCAGGAGACGCGCGCCACGAAGCGCATCAGTATGCGAATCATCCAGGTTGGTTGTTCTCCACATGTAGCTCCGACGGACGGGCGTGTGACGTTCGGTTTTTAAGGCTTGATGGCTCGTGTGCGCGAGACTCACTCTCCTTCCGCGTACCTCTGGTGTTTGGTGATGGACGAGCAGGGTTTACGTTGTGCGTACCTTCGTTCTTTCCCCCATGACCCCAGGGCCTACCTTGTCTACCTTCTTTTTTTGTTTCGCAAGAGGCAGTTGGTGCCCGATTCGCGCCGTGTTATCGCGACGGTTCGGAGCGCCGCGTCACCCGCGGCGGAAAGCAGCGACACGCTCCATCTTCATACGTATTCTCCCTGTACCTGACTTTTCTGTTTTCTCTTGTGGTCGTCCCCCTCGTGCGTGTGTGTGTGTGTGTTTAATAGCATAGACCGTGCTATCCGGCTGACAAATGAACAGACGTAAGTCTCAGTGCGGTTGAAAGCACAAAACACTTCTAAATACCATGAACTGGGACCCCGTGTGTGCGTGTGACTTCGGGGTGGGG